CAGCCATTGACTATATCTAGCAGTGTGAAACTGAATTATTTCATACACATTTTCTCTCCTGTTGGAAATTCTGAGGACAATATGAAAAATCGTAATAAGCTTATTGCCTAAAGACATTTTTGTTCAAAATATCTATCACGTACTTCTCATATATTATAAGAACTGTTCTTAAACTCTAGTACAGGATATTGTAAATTCGCACTATCAGAATTTTTTCATGCAACGGACCCAGCGTCCAGGTCATAGGTCCAGGTTCAGATCAGGTCCAAGTGTAGGTCTATTTTTTTCAAATGCAGGTCCACAGGTCCAGGTTCAAGTTTATAGGTCAGGACCAGACCCGAGGCAAAATTGCTCATTAGATCGAATAACAATAAGCCACCTTACAGTTAAACTTTCTAGTTTCTCCTACAAGTTTTGACCTTGACCCGCACAGGTCACAGGTCAAGGTCTAAGTATCCTGTCTCTGTAACATCCTGCCGGAGGCTAACATTGATACTCGAAAACAGACATAAAAACTGCTGAAATTTCGTCAGAAAGTTAAGAGAATAACTAACCGCATCCTACACTATCATGGATGAGCATAGCTAATGAGTAGGAAAGTTGCTGTAGCTCTAATAAGGTATTTTTCTTGGAATGAAAGGTCCTATTTTTACTTGCCGTTTTCAATATTTTCCGTTAGAATCGTGACATATTCATCTCTGTCTGGACGTGTTTGCTCGTGAAAAAATCCTAAAAAGAATATTTTCATGAGGGATTGTTGATGCTTCTTATAAGTAAGCATACCAAGAACATGAAGTAATTCATGTTGTATGGTACCATTTCTCATACAAGTTGCACGTGCTGAATCAAGCAAATTCATTGTACGATTACCTGGCCATCCATTATTATATCCAACCTGAATGGAAGGGAAAGAGATCCTAATGTCTGTAGTATTGTATTACTCACAATTGCTGAGCAGCCAGATCCATTTTGAATGTAGAGTGAATATAAATCAGTGGGAAGTGATGGACGAAAATAAATACATTGTGTACCATTGACAGATATTAATTCTTCCATTAAACGCATATTTGCTTCGATTAATGCGGCATTTGTTGCATCTGTTCAAAAGACTTTTCAGCATACAAGAAGAAAAAAGATAGCGTATACGCACTGATGCTATCAGTCATGACATAAGGCACTGTATTATTGGGCCATCTTTGGTATTGTGGACGAGATGCAGCACCACGCTAGAGAAGAAGAATTCTTTGTACCTCTTTATTTTGAAAAAATGTTTTTTCACTCACGGGTGCTCCGTCGGGAAAAATCATATCACCCTGATAATACCCACCTAAAAAAGAAGAGTATATGGTTATTCTTTCCAGCAAATTAACTTTCCGTAGTAATTCGTTAATTGACCTGACTCTTCGGGGCGAAGAGAATAAAGTTCAGATGGCGTTTCTCCTTGGCGTCTATCGTCCAGTTCCTTCAAATGAGAAAAAGGCTTTGAAGCGTGTGAGTTACGTCGAGTTAAGTCGAAACGAAATATGGAAAGAATGAATTCCATTCCGTTCCCACAAATCCTCTTCCATAGTGGAAGACCCATCTATAGTGTTCAAGTGTGAAAGTTTTCCAAAGGCCAGCCATCGACATTATGTTCATCAACCAAAATTTCGTTGGAAAAGTAAAAAAGGTAAACGAGCCGTCACTTTTTGTTGTTTCAAAAATGTGAGTTTTCCACTCAAAAAGGTATCAGAAAAATGTATTAAATTGGCAGTTCAAGCATAAAGAGGAGTTCCGAGTGTTCTTTTATGATCAGTCTCTTAAAACACCGAAAGGGTGAAATTTTCTCTTTTATGGGGAAATAAGAAAACTTCAAGAGTAAGGAAGATAAACTATGAGATGTTCTGGCTTACCCGCTTCGGTTCCGAAACTCTAACATAGCGAAGCGAGGCACCACGCACAACAACGAGAAACACAATGAATCGGAGAAGATAGAAAAAATGTGCCATTATATAGCTGGTCCTTTAGTGAGCGTATATGACTGTTGAGTGTTCTATACGATATTCATCGAGAAACAAAGAAAGGACAGTTAACGACATGCGAATAAGAGCAGTAAAAGATCATAATCTTTTTAGAGGAATCTAAAAAATTTTGCCTGGCTGCATGTCGAAAGTAATTTATTGCCATACTCTTCACTGTTTTTTCGTCATTTAATCATACGTTGTATTTGTTTTACTTTTTCCTATGAAAGAAGAGATTAAGTGAAAGAACAAAAATGATTGTCATGTTATACCTTTCGGCATACATGAAGAGTCTCAAAAACTAGTGTTATATGAAAATTATTCAAAGAAATTTTCGATGAACACCCATAGCATTCTATTCCTTGTTGAAGAGTTGTCGCCATGTTTTCTAAATGTGCCTCATTTACTCATTTAGTTGGGAAGAAAGAAAGCTCATTTTCTTTCTGTACATATTTCTATAATATGTAGAACATATGCAACTAACTTTATCATGTAAATGACTAACCGTACTTACTGCTAAAATATCAGAAAACTAGCTAAGCGAAATTCTTGTGGAAGAAATTCTTTGAACATATTCTCTTAACGAATTGTGAGAGCTATCAGCTAGCAAAAGTTGTTTGATTCCGTTCCTCTTCCTCCGGCTTTGGGTAAAGCCATCATTACTTTTCTGTACCAAAGTATATTAATGATGAAAAGGAATGAACTATCTTCTCAAATGGAAAACACAAATAGTGTTACTGGTTAATTTTCTGCTCCTGTGGATAAATACATAAGTGATAAACTATAAATCACATATAAAGTGATTGTAGCGGTGTGTTGATACACGCTTTGCAGTCAATTTACTTTTTCGTAATTTTCTAATTGCCGCCAAAATTTAAGCCAACTAGTACAAAAGTGGTCGCATATTGGTATACTGAAGTTATATTGGTCTCATTTTTATTGCATTTCCAAAAAGCGATCACTAATGAGTAATTAACGGTTCTATTTAGAAATACGGATATATGAAACAATAGTTTTATTTGACAAAGACCTTATATTTATTGGTAATACACAGCCATAGTAAACAACAAAATTCTATAAAAGAATTTAGGTTTCTTTACCATTATCTCTCGTATCTTTTATAACATCTATATACCAGTGTCAAAGAACTCTTCAGACTTTTTGATAACTACTGAAGTCTTTATCTTCAATATATTTTGTCCTTTCTTTAGTTATTTAAGTTTGTCATCATCGCATATAAATTTTATTTTTCTTAGTCTTATTGCAGGTTTTTGAACTTGTTCTTGTTCATAACAGATTTTTTAGATGAGCGCACTTCATTAATCAATATCCAGAGATCCGGATTCGTTCTCACACATCCATTATTTGTCTAGAATAATCTACTAAGTGAGTACGCGACCATTCACCAATTGAATCGAAATGCTTCCATATACCAAACGAAAACCCAGCATGTTCAATATAATCTATTTACTTATCGAATTTTGAATCAGTATTACTGACATAGTCGATCAATAATTAGTTCCACACACTGATTTTACGCTGTTTTATAGATTATTGATCAATATTAATCATTTAGTTCTAGGATAACGAAATATGACATGTATTTTTATTATATTTTGAACTTAGGCAAGATTTTCTTCTATACTTCAGTACATCGTAACTTGTTTATACCTCGCCAGAACGTAACAGCATAAAAAAGCTGTTATCCTGTCAATACATTAATCATAAAATGATGCTTTTGTAGAAACATAAGATTTATGTGCATGTTATTGAGAAACTGTTATATTAGTGTCATAATGCAAAGCTATTTAAGAGTTTAGTGGTGATCAAAGATAAATCAGTACAAAATTTTTACAATAAAATCACTGTTATCGTTTTACTGCTTCACTATGAAAAAAAGATATTGAGAGATAAACCGCTCGTATATAATTGAGAAAGAACTCACTACATATTTGAAAATAATATTATAAATATACAAGGCTAACTTCAAACAACAGTGTCCTGGTAAAAATTCGAATTGAATTCATTACATCAGTACTTTTCGGAGGAAGATTACACAGAAGGTCTCTACTGTACGCTTCATAATTTCAATATGTCATGCAGTGTTATCACTTACTACTATCCGTTTCAAAATACAAGAGCAGTGGCTATTTCTTGAATAACTTTTGATAGAAAGTTCACTCAAAATACATCAGAACGAGTTCAGAACTTCAGTATGTAAAGCATTCAGGCTATTCTGTATCCTATTTACAGGAGATCCAGAAAGAGATTTTATAGGACTCTAATGCTTTCTAAAAGGGTTTCTGGAAAAGCCATTAATAAAAATATGGTTTTTCGATTTTTTCGATCTTATAATCACGTTTAGCGGACAGAATTAACTATATCCTGAAGTTTTGAACTCGTTCTGACGTATTTTGAGTGAACAGTGAATTTTTTAATATTAGGTGAAAACAGTCTGAAAACCCTAGTTTTCGTAAAACTCCCCTTTTCGATAGACTTTTAAATTTTTTCTAAAAGCAAATATTGCCACGAGACTCAGCATGATAGTCCATTGGCTTTCAAGGCTACGAAGAGTCACTAGGTACCAGTCCTGAGACTCGTAGGAAATCCGGTACAACGCTAGAGCCGTAGAATATCTAAGTCTCGCTTGACTCCCATTTTCACGAGCACATCCCGGACTATCAGTCCATGAAAAGATGAACATTATCCTATTGGAAGATTTTTACACACGATCTGGTTTTCCAAAGATATCCTAAACAGTCTGTTTCAGAAAACTCTTGCGGAAATAATTCAGTAATAAATAATAAGTTTGTGGAAACATGTCTCCAAGTCTTCTCTTTTGCATGGTGAAAACCGAAGCTCTCTAGCTGTTTTCTAACAAAAGTTATTTAAAAAATAGCCACTGCTCTTGTATTTTGAAATGGATAGTAGTGGATTAATCTCTCGACGGATCGTAGTTATTTAGTTCGTTTGGTTTCAATTTAAATGTTCTGAAATGAATTTCTACTATAGAAAAAAACATGATGGTACTTTTTTGGTTTGGATATAAAAGTAAAAAAGAAGTAAAGAAAGTGATAAACAAGTATCGAGATAAATGCTGGTTTTCTCCATTCGTTACGGTTTTTTCTGATCTTTCAGACGATAAATAAGCTTATTGGGATAAATCGCTGCATAACATATGTATCAACAGATATCACTATGAAAATATTTCTTACAATGAAGAAGTTTCCTATTACCACGAGTCTTTTGATTTAGGTAAATATCCGAAAAAACCGTGGCGAGTGGATAGAACAGCCATTTATCGTGATGAATTTATCGAAAAAGTCCTGTAGGTAAAGGTGCTAGCCGACGTTCTAATCAGCGGCGACAAAATCTTACAAGGCTTGAAAATTTTCCTTTGAAACTCCCGTCAAAAAGCGATCTTTCAAAAAACTTACCAAAATTTTGAAAAATCACCCCCTCGGAACTCAACATTTATGCAATAAAAATATCATATTCGGAATCACGATGAAAAGCTGAGTCGATTAATGTACATTTGTATTCTATTCGAGTACTTCAATTTTTTCGAACTTTGAAGTCCAAAAATTACCAAGATTTTCATCCAAAACTGAAAATCAACTAAAAAATTTCGAAGTACACATTAGTCGAGTCAGTTTTGAATCCTGATTCCGAATATGATATTTTTATTACATAATCGTGGAGTTCTGATAGAGAAAACTGAGCATTCACTTCAATAATAATTTCTTCAAAAAGTGTTAAGCACAAAAACTGTTTAAAAAATATTCCTCAGTTCACACTTCAAACCTAAACTTTCTCAAAGGTGTCTACTGTGGATCACTTTGAAAATTGTTCCTCTCGCCGCCATCCTCTCTTGGCCAGTGAGCCTTTCGAACAGTGTTTTGCGGAAAAGCAGCTTCTAAAAAAGCGCTTCTGAGCACACTTTTCTCTTTTACAGTTCAAGTTTGCGACTAAAGTTTTTTCAAATCGTTCTTTTGTAGAAGAAAATAATTAATTTCAAAATCTCTCGATATTTTTTGTATAAAAATAGGCAACGAAATAGAGTAAAGAAATTGTTTTCTAAAAAAGAATCATTTAAAACAGACAAAAAAATGGCAACGATAATATGATAAGAAGAAAAAAAGAAGTGACGGCGTGGGATCACGGCTTGGCCAGCTAACAGTACACCAGAGTGCGGAAGTATGAAGCGTTAAATGAAGTGTTAAACCTAATCTTATGTGAAAGAGCACACTTTAAAGTGTAGGAAAATAATTTTCGTTTGTTTTTATTAGTATCTGAACACATGGAAAATATTCGGTGAATATTCTTGTTCTAGCTTTTACGTGCTTTTG